TCACGAACTGGGGCCGGCGACGGCCCACACTCACGCTGTCCTTGGCCAAGACAAGCTGAGCCGCATCAGGAGGTAACAAAAAAAATTATTTACTTCGAGCATCCCCACCCTAAAGCCGTTATTGCACAAGAAGTGTAACGATTCCCTGCCCCCCCCGTAACTATTACTTTGCAGTTGGGCACTGCAGGGATACTTTGCGGTTGGGCACTGAAAGGATACTTAGTGGTTGAGCACTGCAGGGATACTTTGCGGTTGGGCAGTGTAAGGATACTCTGCGGTTGGGCGCTGCAGATGCTTTTGAACTGGGTCCCCCAGTGTGGATGCTGCTCGATGCGTAAAAAACCCAGCCAATGTGAGATAAGCTGACCAGAGGTATCACTTTAAACAAGGATGGTCCCAGGCCCCGGGCGGCGGAGCATACTGCGCTGGCTGGCCGGGCCTGCTCCAGAGGCAAGGAATGACTCGGCGCCTCTTCAACTTCTCTTCGGCCGTTAGTACAAAGAGCCTCTGCCAGCCACCCTGTGTGCCTTGGATTCAGGGCCCCTCTTGAAGACCTCAACCTCAAAGACTTTGAGCTCCTTCTGCTGAGCTCCAGGCTGCCTACAGGAAGTGGCCTGGCTGACTTACTGACTTACGCTGCTTCGTGATCTTTCATGAAAGTACACATCCACTGAGCCGCACACATTGCAGGACCTGAGCACTTGCCAAGCCACATCCAGAACGGTGCAAACTGCTTGAACATTCTGCACCTGTGTCGTAGCTGCCCTGTTTGGGCTGCCCAGTTTGCCCAGCTGGCGCAGGCTGCCTGGCACTCAAAATAAAATTGAAAAGGCGAAGCAGGGCAGGCGCCGGCACACCTGGAACCCCGCATTGATGGCTTAGCACCACCGCCGCTTCCGCGGTTTTTGGAACCTGGAATACAGTGTTGATTACCTCGTAAAGCCTGGCTAAGCCTCCTGGCTAAGCCTCATGGCTATAAGCCTCCTTAAGCCACGCTGAGCGGCCTTTGGCGCGATTCTCTCGCCGCGCAGCGGCCTAAAAGGGGCAAGATGTCACCATGTTTTAAGTTTCAAAACCTGCCAAACGGCCAAACGCTTACTCTAAGCACTCTCCAACCAAAGCTCCGAGAACTGGCAAGGGCAGAGCCGCATGCTAAGCTGCCAAGCACTCTGGAGCCCGCGCTGCATCGCACTACTGCGATCAAGAAAAGAATTCTTCGGTTCTCAGTGCTCCGCCTTGCTTGCCTTCTCCACTGTCCCCTTTGCAGCCAGTCATCAATGAAACACTCCACTCGATCTTGTGGCTGAGGCTGACACCGAGGGCTTCTCGAGGCCATGGTGCTGGTATAGCTGTGCCACGGCATCTAAGGCCTTGCGACGCTTCTGCCCTGAAAAAAAACTGGAGTGTTGGGCTTTGGAGGCGCGGACATTTCCCTTGTAGCCATTGCGCTGGTAAAGCCTCGGCTTCAGTGCAAGATCCTCGGGCAGGGGCGCAAGGTTTGACTGGGTTTGCAGCCTTAAAAAGATGCTGTGGGTGATGGAGGAGGGCTTCATGCCAGCCCTTAGAGCGAAAAAACTTGTGTGAAGAACATTTCTTTGAGCTGAAGGTCCGGGCGAGGCCATCTCTGCGAACAGCCCGACCCCAGCCGAAAGATCATTAGCCTTGTGACAAGCAACCTTGCCTTCTCAAAAACTAAGTGCGGCATCGGCATCAGCTGGCTCGGATCCATCAGCACCAGCCGTCAAGGGGCTTTGACGCAGCCGTCCATCAAAGTGTTGTAGACCAGCTCGTCACACTGCATCCCACACGCCTTGTCCCGAGCGGGTGCCGCATGATGCATGGCTGCGATCGACGTGAACAAGGCCATTCAAACTGACATGATGGAGTTGCGGACTGAATGGAGCAGAATCTCTTTTGGCTTCCCCCGCCTTAATGGTGGCGGCAACTTGCAGTGCCTTGTCCAGGTCTCCCACCTGATGTTTCAGATGAGGTTCAGTTTCACTTAAGGGGCCTTGCCTTAGCTCAGCCTGGCAGTAGCCCTTCAGCAACGTGGAATACGTGATGAGGTCCGGCCTGGTTGGGGGCGTCTTCCAAACAGTTCACTGGGCAATTTGATAGCTGAGGCGCTGGCTGTACAGTGCTGCCCTCGGACATCATCTCCTGAAAAAATTCCTCGCAGGATGCCAACTTTGCTGAAATGCTGAACCCACGCTCCTCCAGTCAGAAATCGGTACTTCCAGAGCTGCATATCCCTTGATTGGCCTGCCTCTGCCTTCGCAACTTCCGTGCATTTTATGCAGACGTCGATAATGGAGTTGTAAGCAATGGTGTTGTAGGGAACGCCTGGTCTCAAAAGGTATGTGGCAAACTACACCTCGAATCATCATCTGCCCGCGCCTTCCTCTCGCATCTCTCTGAAGAGCATGATCGCAGTGTTAAGATCCTGGCAAGACCACCAGAATTGCAAGCATCCGATGCACACCCCTTCAGTGCACACAGCCCTTGGCATGTCTTTGCTAGACTGCTGGACCCTTCTATCACCTTCTCGTTCCCATACCCCTTGATGAGAGTCCTGAGGCAAGAGCGCCGAAATAAGGCAGACGTCTAATGTGCACAGATGGGTAGCTGGGCGCATTGCGTGTAAAGGATTGTGTTGCACTGCTTATGCTTCTTCTGCATATCGCGGAAAATTGAGAGGGCCTTCTCAAAAAGCGCGAAGTTTTGATAAAGGACGGCAATCTGCCAGCCTTCTCTGTTTGGCTACACTTGACGCAGGCATTGATCATGCACCCATAGGTGACGGCCTAAGTCAACCAAAGCGCTCCCATCACACGTTTCAGCATCAAAGGCGTCAAGGTCGCGTCATTCGCCTGCTCTCGCTGCTCGTGCATCTCATCCCAGAGCTGCACGACCTTCTCTGGTAGCGCACGAAAGGCTCTGAGTCGGCGAGGGCTGCCGATGCATGCCATGCCTTCTTGATGTCGCAAACTTGGCCATATGCCTGACACATGAAGGCCTTAATCTTGAAGACTCTGAGGTCGAGATGGGCCTTCACAAGGATCCCCAGCGTCACGTGGGAGGGCTCTACGCCTAGGTCCTCACGGAATTGGGTCTTGGTGGCAGCAGCTATCCCAGTGCGAGTCCATCTGTTGGCCTTCATGCGCTGAAAGGTCGTTTCCAGCTTGGCCTAGCATTCGCATTTGCATTCAGGGAGGTCTACAACACAGCAACGAGCTGGGCTGCGGCAATGTCTTTGGTTCGCGAGTGTGTGTCTAAAATTGCATTGAACAGCACCTGGCAGAGAATTTGCAAGCACGGGTACTGGATCTCATGATAGGTGGCCGAACCCACCTCGTCTGCCTCCTGCGGCTGTAATTGCACGAACTGTTCAACGAGCGCGACCTCAAGCGTGAAGCAGATGATGCAGATTCACTTGCAGATGCAGATGCACAAATGTGTACTGATGTGAGCTGGGCTCCATGCTGACCGGTTGATCTTTGCCGGGTCCCAGCTCCTGGCCACTGCAGGTATGCACAACTTCCTTGACTCTACCTCGCTTTCCTCCGCCCGTCTGCCAGGGTGCGCATAAGCATTCGGGAGACCTGAAAACGGAAATTATAAAAAGGAATGCAAAAGGGAATGACCGAAAGCTGGGTCCCCTGGGGTGCCGGCCGTGAAGCGGTCCTCAAGATGAAACGATGAATCTGGTCCGCTTTCGGGGCTTTGCAAGGCTTCAGGCCCAGACGGCTGGCAGGCCGGCACGCATCATCTCCTGAAGGGCATCCCAGGCCTTCAAAAAACTTCAAAAAGGCTTTCGCATGCTTTCACCTTTTTTCAATGCCCTGGTGACTTCCAGGCCTGGTCCACACCTCGACGACGCATGAGATCCTCCAGCTGTGAGACGGGACCGCTCCTGCGAGGACACTTTTGCGCGACGGACATGAATCCATGCACGAAGTTCATCTCCTGTTATCATGCCTGCCATCGCCACCTCCACGGCCCTGCAAGACATTAAGCTGCGGACGCCATCTCTCGAAGTCTGCACGAATTTGCACTCCCTGTCCTGCCCGCGGCGGCCCATGCTCCTGAAGATTCTGGAGTACCCAACACTTCTTCCACATCTGCCGGGCTCCACACTGGCTCGGCCAGGATGGGCGTGCCGGGCGTTGGGCCCACGGGCCCAAATCTTCAAAAGGTGAACCCTCTGTCTGCAACACACCTACAGTCCGGCTGAAAACAAGAAGCACTTCAACTTTAGGACTGCTGTTAGCAGTGGTAGTGTAGAGTTGGTCCAAGAAAGATAACATTCTCAGGCTGGATACAGGGCCCTGGGTTGCCCTTTGCACGTTAACACGGAGCCACCAAGAGCTTCCCTGGTGTCCGTCCTCTTGAGCCAAAGGTCCAGTACAGAACGCTCCTCTGCCTTGCACAACGTCAGGGAGTTTGAATCCTGCTGGCCACTACGAACATACTGCTGCAAGCAATGTCAGCGCATGGAAACATACGGGCGGCAAATGGCGGCAAGTGGGTTTTCTGCCTTGGGAAAGGGCTTGGGGCCGTGGCTGCCGCAACAAGCACAGCACATGAGACGTGTAGGCTCGCACCTGTCGTAAGACAACTGAGGATTACTCATCGGATGTTCCGTGTTTGTCGTGTATATGGTGCGCCTGTGTGTAAATTTATGTCTACACATATAGTGGCCCCCTCGCGCTGTTTTCTGCTTTGGAAAACCATTCAATGTACAGCAAGTTTCAAGCAGTTTGTTTTTTCCATAAGTTTGGGTATGGGTTCGACAAACATTCTCCGGGATTGCGCCTCACAAATAGGCAGCTCATTTCTTGAAAGAACCTCGTTAGTCTGTGCTCGAACAGATGACAAGTAGACCCAAAACCAAAAAAAAGTGTCAGGAGAATAAATGGCTTCGGCGGAACAAGGTGACTCTTATAGTTTGCCCAGGGAAGGGTTGGTTCCGCTTTGTCAGACCATCTTGTTCCTGGTTAAACGATAGTGCGAAGACTAGTCGTTTTGCCGTAGCTTGAGCTTGGCTCCAAAAAGGGTAAAAGGGGCCCCTGCGGTAGGAAGGTCAAGTTTGCCTACTGTACAAACACTGTACACACACTGTACGCGCTACTTTTGAGCCCTTATTCACACCCGTGACTCTTCTGGCGTCAGTGTGGTGAAAACTTGGCCGCCTAGGAGATCGACATCAGGTGATTGCCGTCTCGTGTTTCAAGGTGTCCTCGTCGTGATCACCCTTTCGCCTCTGGAGCTGCTTTGCCCGCTTCTTGACGACACTGTCAATGGGCTGTTCGATGTCGAGAACGTTGGTCTCTAGGGCTTCCACCAGCTTGGCTGGTTCCATCACTTTCGTGAGAGGATCCGCGATCATCACGTCGGTATCTATCCATCTCACAATGTCAGTTAGCTGATCATTTGCAGGTCTATAGTCGTCATAGAATGGATCACCTGCATCATCGCCCTTTTTCCTCCAGAGATCCTGTCTCAGAGACGCGATCTCGATACTCAACCGCTTATCTGAGTGCTTGTTGCACTTAGGGTTCTTAAGGGTTGACTCGAGACTCTTACAGTCTGTCATCCAGATCTGTCTCATAAATCCAGCGGAGGTGGCCTCCCAACGCTTTAAGTCAAGACGTCCGAAGATGTCTGTGACAGCGGCCCTTACCACGTCGCCGTCCTCAACGCCGGCCTGTAAGGTGTAGGCTTCCGCTTGGATGGTCGACCTACATACTCTGCGTACGAGGTTGCTCGACCATGAGATCGGATGAATATGACCTCGGTCTCCCTTCCACAGGGCCTCCGTGGTGAGAAACACCATGCGTGCACTTTGGCTCCGATGGTGCTCAAGAGACGTCGTTTCATTCACGATCATCTCCTCGGACTCATTCGCGTGAGAGGCGTCTGTAACGACGAGATTTAATAAAGCGCCGGGTGTTGTCCAATCCAACATGCCGGACCGGAAAGTCAAACCTCTGTCGTGGGTACGCACTGCGTATTCCACCGTTTTGTTCGCATCCCGTATATCCGCAACCGTTCCACTATTTGAAGCGGATTGGATACGTGATACCCGGTAGCTGAGATCTGGTCGGCATTGTCTGCAAACCCATGCCAGCGATCCAGCGACGCTTTTCATCTGCGTCTTGTCGGAGTCCGTCAAGGGATCTCCTCGGTGCCTCTTCGGCGCGATGTGGATCTTCTTGACTCCTCGGGCGGTGTCACTGCAGGAGACGTGGATAGTGAAGTCTTCGTCCTGCTTAACCTCCTTTCCGCAGTACCTGAAAGAGCCTTTTTCGACCGTACCACACTTAAAAGTGTCGATCAGGTCCTTAATGATCCAGTCGCGTGACGGGTCACATGCCCATAGCAGGTCGTCCACATGGGACGTCATGAGCATCTGTACCACCCCATTGGCGTCCGTGAAGCTGTACAGAGCACGGCAGATTCGGTTCTCCTTGAGACCTTTCTTCTTAAGATAGGTCCGGAGGCGTTTCCAGAATCGCCTGCCTCCATCGGTACTACCATAAATGGGAGCTCTTGCGAGCATGTGCTCGTCAGGCTTGAGTCCTGGCAGTCCGCCCTTTGGCTGTGACAAGAGAAGGATTCTGTCAATCTCTTCTCCTTGAAAGTAGGTGTTTGTGACGTCCAAGCTGCAGATCTTGAGACGTCTCGATGCAGCGAACGAGAACACGATGTTCTGCGCTTCGATGCTCGCTGTAGGGCTGTCACTGCGTGGGTCTCCCTGCTCGAGATCCCCTCGTACAACGAGCCTGCTTTTGTACGTTGGCTCTATTGACGGATCAAGAAGCCTTTGAGCATGGTTCTTGTCCACTTCTACCCATTGGGTAGGCACTATCTGGTGTCCTTCGCGTACCAGCTCTTCCAGCTGCTTCTTGTCTATGACAAGGGCAGCGCTGAACTCTTTCCATTTGTTCCATTCCTTCTCTCGCGTCTTGTCGAGTTCTTTCTGTACGTCTTCTGGACACTTGGAATAAACCAGGTTCTTCCCGTGTTTTTCCTTCTGCCTCTTAGAGCTGTAATTCTTTCTCCGCTTGCGCCATACACTCGTCTCGGGTGTCTCAATGCGCTCTGCGAAGAAACAGCGCAGCGACTCATATTCCTTCTGGCCTGGAAGGGAATTCCAAAGTTTCTCTTCCTTGTGTGACCAGAAATGACTGGCAAATGCGCGAAGCGAGTTAGCCATCATTGAGTCGTGTGCTTGAGCTCCTTCTCCTGCCTGCGCTGCTGGTGCGGTAGCCACTATGTCCGGGGTTCTGCAGGAGGTGGCAGAGGAACTTCGACTTCAGTCGTAAGTTCAGTTTCGGGCTCCTCAACTGTCACGGCCCGTCACTCTTCACGAGAAGCACCAACCCTCCGGCGCACAGCCCTCGGTGCTGTAGCCGTAGAGGTCCGGGATTCTGGAGGAATGTCTTGACGGTCAGAGGGCTCCAGTCCCAAAGCGTCACCCAAGTCCTCCTCATCCTCATTGGGATTGGCTCCGCCGGAGCGTAAACGCGCAAAAAATGCATACTTGGCCGACCTCTTCGGGTGTGGCCTGCGTGGCACGAACCACACGTTCGAAGTTTTCGAGGGCCCGAAATACTGCGTATACCACGCATCGCGTTTTTCGGTTTGGAGGCCCCGAAATACTGCGTATGCCACACATCGCGTTTTTCGGCTTGGAGGCCCCGAAATACTGCGTAT